TCGGCCATGAAGTCTGCTAAAATTTGAGACTTGATGTCCGTACGGGGTTGATATTCGATATCGTACCCACTGAGTTCGATGGCCCATTTTTCCAGTCGGCCTGATAACTCGGGTTTGTGCAAAATATTAAGAAGCGGGTAAGTGGTTAACACACATATGGGATGACATTGAAAGTACGACCTTAACTTCCTAGAGGCGCTTCTCAGTGCAAGTGCCAATTTTTCTAGGAGCGGATATCTAGTTTCCGCTTCTCCTAAGGTTCGACTCATATAATAAACGAGGAATTGCGTACCTTGCTCTTCTCGAACTAGGACACCGCTTACGGCGACTTCCGATACTGTCAAGTACAAATAAAGTTTTTCATCTGTTTTTGGAGTGTGAAGTAGTGGTGGGCTTGATAGATATCGCTTTAGTTCCTCTAATGCTTGTTGGCACTCCGGGGTCCAAGCAAAATCATTCTTATTTTTGAGTAAAGAGAAACATTTGTGACTTCGGTCAGATGATCTTGAAATGAACCGGCCTAAGGCTGCAATCTGACCCGTTAGCCTTTGTACAGCCTTCACGCTGTCCACAACGACGATGTCTTCGATGGCCTTGATTTTATCAGGGTTAATCTCTATTCCCCGATGTGACACTATGAAGCCGAGGAACTTGCCCGAACCGACTCCGAAAGCACATTTTTCGGGATTGAGCTTCATGTTGTATTTCCTAAAAATTTCTAACGTTTCCTGCAAATGGGTCAAATGGTCCTCTACGCGCATGGATTTAACTAGCATGTCATCAATATAAACTTCCATTGATTTTCCTATTTGTTCTTCGAACATTTTATTTACTAGGCATTGGTAAGTAGCCACTGTATTCTTTAGCCCGAAGGGCATCACATTATAACAATACGTTCCATATTTGGTGATAAATGAAGTCTTTTCCTGGTCCTCTAGGTTTATCTGGATTTGATTATACCCGGAATAGGCATCGAGAAAAGTGAGGATCTCATGGCCGGCCGTGGCATCGATCATGCGATCGATGTTGGGCAGCGGAAAGGAATCTTTGGGCATGCTTTGTTTAAATCTTTATAGTCCACACACATTCTAAGTTTGTTCCCTTTTTTAGGGACTACAATTATGTTGGCTAACCATTCGGGATATTTCACCTCCCGAATGGACCCTACTTTGAGAAGCTTGGTTACCTCGTCCTTTATGAATGCGTGTTTTCCTTCGGACTGGGGTCTTCTCTTTTGCTTCACCGGTCTGAACCTAGGGTCCAAACTTAGCCGATGTGTTGTTATGTCCGGCGGGATCCCTGTTATATCTAAATGGGACCAGGAAAAACAATTGATGTTATCGATAAGCAATTGAACGAGTTTCTTCCTGAGTTCGGGGCTCAACCCTGTTCCCAAGTATACCTTTCGCTCGGGCCAGTGCTCGATTAATGTGACTTGCTCTAGTTCCTCGATCGTTGATTTGGTGGCGTCGGAGTCATCGGGAATCACAAAAGATAGAGGGACCCTTTGATCATCATCCTCTTCGATTTTCTGGTTGTCTGGCTGGGTTGAAGCCGATGTCTGTGATTGCTATTTGGTGTCCCGTTCTCCTTCCGGGCCCGATCCTTTCATCGGCGAAAGTGAGGACATTGGTTTAGCTTCATCGACGGCGAACATTTTCTTTGAGGCTGGTTGTTCTCAGTACACCATTTTGACACCTCTTGATGTCGGGAATTTGAGGGTTTGGTGTAGGGTCGAAGGTACAACTCTCATGTTGTGGATCCATGGCCTTCCGAAAAGGGCATTGTATCTCATACCGCCTTCGATCACGTGAAACTTTATTTCCTGGATGGTTCCGGCCATGTTTGTTGGTAGGAGTATCTCGCCTTTGGTGGTTTCACATGCCATATTGAACCCATTTAGAACCAGAGTTGCTGGTACGATCTGATCCTGTAGGCCGAGCTACTCTACTGCCTTCAATCGGATGATGTTGGCCGAGCTACCTGGATCGATTAACACATGCTTAATTTTAGTTTTATTCACGAGTACGGATATTACCAGTGCGTCGTTATGAGGTTGGATGACCCCTTCTGCATCTTCATCATCAAAGGACAAAGTCCACATGGGTACGTAATCTTGAGTCCGAGATCGTTTTTCCCTCACAATCGATGTTTTAGTGCATTTAAGCACTGGTCCCTGAGGGGTATCGATGCCGCCGATGATCATGTGGATGATGTGCTGCGGTTCTTCTTGCTCATTTTGATTGCTGAAATCCCTGTTTTTAAAATGGTTCTTCGCTCTATCACTCAGAAATTCCCGAAGGTGCCCTTTGTTAAATAAGCGAGCTATTTCCTTTCTTAGTTGCTTGCAATCTTCCGTTCTGTGGCCATGGGTACCATGATATTCGCACATTTGATTGGGATTTCTTCGAGCAGGATCAGTCTGCATGGGTCGAGGCCATTTAGTTTCTTTGATGCGTCCGATGGCTGACACGATAGCGGATGCACCAACGCTGAAGTTATATTCTAATAATCGAGGTGCTTCTATAGGATCGATATATTTATCAAAGCCGCTCTTACTCATAAGCCCTTGAGGATTTTGTCCTCGATCAATCCTTCAATTGTTCCGAACTGCATTGTGTGCTGAACCGTTGTTCACCCGATCTGTGACGTACGGTCGATATCGATCTCTATTCGACCTTTGTTCTCTGTCGATCTCCTTTTGGGTTTTAGTAACTATCCTGTTCTGATGAACGGGTCCGTACGGAGCTCCCAACTGATCATCCTCGACCCTATCTTTCGATTGATATCAGTTGTGTACATCTGCCCAAGTTATTGCTGGATACTCAATTAAATTTTGTTTCAACGGATGTGATGCTGTCGAACTTAGCTCGTTCAACCCTTGGGTGAAAGCTTGTACGACCCAATCGTCTGTGACCAGGGGTAATTCCATGCGTTCCATTTGAAATCGGGATACGAATTCCCTCAGCATTTCATTCTCCTTTTGCTATACTTTGAAGAGGTCTGATTTCCTTGTTGCAACCTTTATGGCACCAGCATGTGCCTTTACGAACGAATCTACTAACATGGCAAAAGAATCGATGGAATTCGGCGATAAATTGTGGTACCAGATCATCACTCCCTTCGAGAGGGTCTCCCCGAACTTTTTCAACAACACGGATTCGATCTCATCGTCCTCCAAATCGTTGCCTCTTATGGCACATGTGTAAGAGGTAACATGTTTGTTAGGATCGGTCGTACCGTTATATTTGGGAATTTCGGGCATACGCAATATTTTGGGGATTGGCTTCGACGCCGCATTCGACGGAAAAGGCTTTTGTATGAATTTTTTCGAATCAAGCCCCTTTATCATTGGTGGAGCTCCCGGGATTTGATCGACCCTGGTATTGTACGTTTCCACCCTCTTATCATTGGCTTCGACTCGTTTTGTAAGTTCCTCGAGCAATTTGGTAATTCCGGGAGTAGTCCTCGATTCTTGCTCGTTAGATTTCACTATGGCGAGGTCTGTTCTGGGGGTGACTTCTCGAAGTGGATTGGAATCCGGCGTGCTTTTGTGCGCGAGCTTGGATCTGTAGCTGAGATATCGCTACTTGTTGGGCTTGTAGCATCTCGAAGATCATATGTAAGCTGGCCCCGATTTCCCCCGCGTTTTGGGTGTGTCGGGCTACGGATCGAGTACCGCCCTGAATGCTTCTTTCCAGTTCGGAACGCTGATTCGCCTCCAAAGCTATTTGTGAATTGACATCCAATGGTATTTCGGCTCGAATTTCAGATACTTCGATTCGAGCCTCGGTGCCATCGTTAATTGGCCTTCCGGCCCCGGGTTCCAAGTTGTTGGTTTCATCTTGAAGGCCGGCTTCGTTATCGATCGGTGAAGCCATTTGATTGGTGGTTATTCGTAGCTGATCCGAAATTCAAGATGTTTTCGGAAATAGGCGTAAAGCACAATGGCGTGTTTTTTCAGATTTGTATCAAATAACCACTGTTATCCTCGGCCCCACGATGGACGCCAAACTGTTTACCTGAAAAATAGATAGAGTTGAATTTATACGCAGTTCCGAGGATATGTGGTGTAACTTGACACAAAATGTATGGATAAATAGAAATGTAAATATAGATTGCAGAGAATGCGAAATAGATAAGGTTGTCTGGAACAATGAATCTTAGGATTCAACAAATAGAATCAATCTAAGAAATCTGAAAGAACGATTCTTTACTGTAGAAGAATATAGCACTTATCAGAAAAACCTATCTTACAGAAATGGTAACCAAGCCCTTTTATAGTAGAGGGATTTCGCTCTAAGCATAATAAAATAAACATTCAGTGGGAGACCCATGATAAGTCAGCTTTTTCACAATTTCTGCCAAGATTCTCTCTAGTGGGATTGCAACGGCTTTTGTCTGCGAGCTCGATCTTGCTTAGAACCCTCGATTTTGGTTTGAGCTTGATTTCGACTCGAGCTCTTGATCTTGGTTCGAGCCCGATCCTGGATCGAGCCCTCGAATTGATTCGAGGTCAATGTTGGTTGGTCTCTAGATTATCAGCATGATAGATCTACTTTGCATCATGGTTCGATTTCGATTCGAGCTTGATAATGATATCGTACTCGACACGGATCAGCCTCCTCGGGTTCGAGGTCAATTTGTTTTACCTTCGGGATCTTACTTTGATAGATCATCGTTCGAACTCNTGAGCTTGATAATGATAACGAACTCGACACGATCGGCCTCCCCGGGTTCGAGGTTAATTTGTTCCACCTTCGGAATCTTATTTCGATAGATCACCGTTCGAACTCGATCGGATGTGCTAAGGCCGAAATCTATTTCGAGACCTACTCTACCAAAAAGAAACGGAAGGTAAATAGCTACAATAGCAAAAACAGCCACAATTCCAATACATAATCAGAAAGCAAACATGGCTACTACATACTTACAAATTTTGTTTCCTTACTTAGAAACAACAATTGAGAGTCCACAAAACGTAATTTTCTATGGTCTACTTATAGAACCCGAGAAGCCTCTTGAAGTTCATTGCTTCCTGTAATACAAGCAATGCAGCTAAATATACATGCTACCTGCTGGAGGCAAAACATGAATCCCTACAAACAAAGGCAAAGCACAATTAGCTAAAAAGATAGTAAAGAATATTGAAATAACATGCTACAAGCAGAGAGGAGGAAGATGAGGAGTTGAAATTACAATTATGCAGTTATCACATTTTGTTGTCTGTAGATTGAACTCATCTTGCAACATAAAGCGCGTTGAGGCAACTGAATTTGCAAAGCAAAGAAACACCTGAACAGTAGAACATGATTAGGTAATTAAGTAGGATAACCTAAATAAAGCTCATAGAGCCCGTTTCACTTAGCTGATTGAAAGTAGCTCTATGAAATAAATTTTGAGATTGATGAAAATTCTGAAGGGGAATAAGTTCAGCAACACCAAACCTCTGTGCAAAGACATAACTCAGGGCAATGACTTTCTCCACATCTGCCACTACAAGGCATATAGCCTCCACAACATGTATACCTATAAGCACAAATATCTTCAAATTAGATAGATTCTTCAAATATACATCTTTAAATTATGATCTATAAATCTGAACAATAGTCAAAACCGATCATTTTATCCAAAAATACACATAATCTTGCACTAATCAAGGTTCTAATACGTCTCATCTCTGCACAGTTCCTCGACGTCAGATGCGATCGGCCATGTGAGAGAGTCGATCTGGCGGCTTGTTCGACACACTTATATCCTTCACATGGATATCATCACATGCATACAGAATATGGACATGATTTCAATAATAACTCATTGATGATTATACTATAATAACCAAAATATTTTACAATACATAAACATTATCATATCCTTCGCAAACCTAGAGCTACAACATATTTCTCAATCATGTCTCCAGATATTTATTTTATAAGAAAATCTACTACCATTTTTGCGTAACTATGCATTGTAATATTATTTCTCAACTTATTATGATGTCTCTTACGAAGTTATACTGAATATCGATATTTTCAATTATGATGTGGTACTTATGGTCCTTTTCAATTATCACAATATATAATATTGAAAGCCGGAGGGTTCTCTGCAATTTTCCAAATGCTTAAAGAATCCTTTTAACCAAATAACTTCTTGTACTGTAGATGCAGAAGCTAAAACCCAACTTCCAGCTGAAAGGGTTGTGTAAGTTTACTTCTTACTTTTCCATAAAATAGCAAGTACAAAATTACAATCGGATATCGATTTTTTATCATTCTGGTCACCAAGCCGATCAACATTTGTCTACCTTCTCAATCAAATTATATTCACCATAACATTGTGAATAATTTACAGTTCACTTCAGGTATCGAGAAATCTTCTTTACTGCTTTCCAGTGATCTCTTCTAGAATTGGATTGATACCTGCTAATCAGACCAATGACATAATAAATATCCGAACGAGTACACATCATAACATAAATTAAGCTCCCGACAACACTTGAAAATAGAACTCGAGACATGTCTACCTTTTCTCTTCGAGTCATTGGACATATTTCAAGGCTTAAAGTTTCACCTCTCGCTATAGGAGTATCCATAGGTTTGTAACTATTTATTCAGAAGCGTTCCAAAACTTTTTTTAATACAGTTTGTTGAGGTGGACTCAATAACTTTTTGGAACAATTTATTTGGATCTTAAATTTAAGAATGTAGTCTACCTAACCCATATCTGTCATGTCAAATGACTTTGAAAGCCATGACTTAATAGTTTTCAGATACTCCATATTATTTCCGACAATAAAATATTATATACGTAAAGAAAAAGAAGTATAAGTATTTCATTGGACTTATTTTTATATAGATGCAATAATCTTTATTGATCATAATGTAATTGAATGAGAACAACTTCTTCTGAAATCTCAAATACCATGCAAAAATATTCATCTATAAAATTGGTTTACAACTAATTTATTGCAGTGCAAGTATTACTATTGCAATGATGGCATCAGTTGTATGACAATATACTTATAATGAAATATATGTTATAAATATATTATATTATGGATGTCCATTTAGTACTTTGTTGTAAATAAGCTTCCTGAAGAAACTTATCCATATTGGACTCCGTCGTAGATATGTTTATATATTTAGAACTCTATTGGAAATAAGCCTCCTAAAGAAGCTTATCATTTCGGCACTCCGTTGTGGATAAATATTACTCTTGTAGAAGATTATCTATAGCTGATACAATAACAGCTTACAAGAAACTTATATAACAGCTTGCAGTAGGAGCTTACAAGCAGCTTATAGAGCAACTTGCAGTAGCAGCCTGCAAGCAGCTTATAGAGCAACTTCCTTTCTTCTATAAATAGAAGAGATTTCAGTTCATTATGTACATCAGTTTGAAGTTGAATAATATATTAATCTCTCTATACTTGTTATTGATTTACTTACTTTACAATTTTTATTTTATAACATGTTATCAGCACGTGGATATTTACTTTAAAAAAAAAAGAGAAAAAAGGATCTAAATATCTAGGGAAAGAAGAAAAAATCCTACTTATCCTCGTTACAAGACATCGGTTCCCACGGTAAGCAGAGGCGGAGCTAGGGATTTAAGTGTATGGGTTCTAAATTTTAAAATAAAACATTGCTTATAGGGGGAATCGAACTCCCATATTTTCCAGCGAACCCACAACTCTTACCGTTGAACCAAGACCCCTTTTGTTACTGGGTTCAGCAGTATATATTATATAAATTTAGTAAATATTTCAATACAAATACAGGATTTCTGAAAAAGTCATTGGGTTCGCCCGAACCCGCACCCACTACTGTAGCTCCGCCCCGACGGTAAGTAGTACTAAGTTATTGCATATATGAAATTTCCACCATTTTTACGGTGGCTAGAAGGAGTGGTATTCCTTTGGTATCAATGTTTCCTTTTCACATTAGCAAAGTAAGATAATTTCATGATTGGCTGAAACTAAGCAAAGGAATCGTGAATTCTCAATTTTCTTTTGCACTTTCATCTCTTTGCTAACACTAGTTATTTGTTTATTTTGAGTAAACAAAAGTTTATAACTACTAATCAGATTATATTGCATCATTAAGAGTCTACACTAAAGGTTAGTATTTCCTTTCTTCGTTTTGTCTTTTGCTACTAGCATGATTGACTTCGTTGAGTTTATTTGATATGAGGAATCTAATTTGTTCATTTGACAATTCATGCCTCAAATTTGTTCCTGAAGAACAAAATTGTGAAGAGGCATCAAATTTGCTCCTGCAGATCATCGCTTGAATCCAGTAGAATTCATAAGAAACATACAACCACTAGAAATGGTTGAATATTTCATATCTCGTTATAACTAAATTTTGTTAATCACCAGAAGTGGTTTATGCCTATGACTATCAGAAGTGATAATTTAGACTTGCTATGATTACAATGAAGATAAGTTAGAGAAAATTTCTTTATATTACATGCATACCTCGATTTGCACATGAAGAAGCATTATCTTAAAAGAGGTTCTAAGCCATCACACAATTTGGTTTGATTAATGCACGTTCAGATAATTATGTTTCGTTCCCTGAAGGATGAGAACTTTTAATAATATTAATCCATTCCCTGAAGTGAATGTGACAATATTAATAAAGCTCGTAAATATGAACGCGCTCTTGATGTAAATATATTACAATTGATCTCCAGAAAAGGTAATATGATTGAGAGAATATATACTCAATATTTCGTATTTTAAATTTGCTCCTGAGTAGTAAAACAATTAAATTTTTCTCCTGAAGCAGGAAAATATTATGAAACTGTGTCTTTCTGTGCTTAAATAAAATAATGAGCTATTCAAAGTTATTTTTGAAGCACGTTTTTATTCCTTGGAGTGAATGAAGAAATACCACAACTCACCTCCTGAAGAGCTAGAATAACAGAAGATATAAATATTATTTTTGTGGCATAAAGATTATTGTCGCACGTACCTGTTGTACGTAAAACATCTTGGATAGCGTCACGACCCCAATTTCCCTCTGTAGGGTGTCGTGACAGCACTTAGTCTCTAAGACTAGGTAAGCCTAACAATTTTGCGGACTAACTGAATATAAAGCTGAAACTCAAACCTCATCATTCGAAATAAATAAAAACTGCAATTCGAAATAGTTACAACTCCAAAAATCCGATAGAAATAAGTCACAAGCTCTAAAGAGAAATGCTAAATATCTCTATACATCAGAGTCTAAAGAGAATAAGGAAGGCAACATAATAAGGATAGAGGGAAACCCCGAGATTTGCGGACACTGACAGATATACCTTGGAGTCTTCACACATAGACTAGCTCACTGATATCTAGTCTGGTAGGAAGAACATATGCACAAAAGAATGTGTAGAAGAGTAGTATGAGTACACCATAACCGTACCTAGTAAGTGCCAAGTCGAACCTCGGTAGGGTAGTGGCAAGGTCAGGTCAAGGCTATAATGGAAATAATAAGAAAAACAAAGCAGGAGATATAATAATGAAATGAGATGACAAAGAAGTGTAACAATAGAAATTCACAAAAGATAACAACCCAGAGTTCAAGAAGACAACTACAACACTTAAGGAAACAAGAATCTTACAAGTTAAGCAACAACAACAACAACAATATAACAAATAGAGATAAACAACCGGGGCACTCCCGAGGTACCGCCTAGTCCCAAAAGTAAATATCTCACAACGGCACGACAGAAATCTCGTGAAAACAATTATAATCGCACGACAGAAACCTTGTGCCACAATAACGCTCCGCATGATAGAAACCTCGTGCCACAATAACACTCCGCACGCCAGAAACTTCGTGCTACAAATAATCAGTTATCTCAACAAAAATCACGAAAACAACACATAACAAATGGAACAATGAAATTACAACAAGGAATCCTACAGTTAAAAAATGAATAAATCAAAGGAAGCAGGTAATTCAACTAAGCATGTTTCACAAATTTGCAAGTAAAAGATAAGACACGTAGACATGTGACACTAGGCTAAACATGATGACTACACGTGCTAGAGTAACTCAATTAAGGGAATAAAAAGGAACAATTTAGCAAAAACCGAATTTTTAACATTTAGCCTGAGTACGCACTCGTCACCTCGCGTACATGGTCTTCATGTATTGCAAATACCATAATAGTACCAAATCCTAAAGGAAATTTCCCCCACACAAGGTTAGACAAGTCACTTACCTCAAATCTCGCTCAATCAATAATAAAGAATGCATTTCCCTTGACTTTTCGACTCCGAACGACCCAAATCAAGTCAAAAGCGATTACATACTATAAATATAACTATAAGAAACTAAACTAAATAATGAAATTATGACTTTAACAAGGAATTAAAAAATCACCCGAAAAGGTCGACCCGGGCCCACGTCTTCGAATCGGGTAAAAGTCACAAAATTCGAACACTCGTTCAACCACGAGTCCACCCATACCAAAATTACTCAAATCTGATACCAAAACTCGATCAAAACCTTAAAATTCGATTTAAGAACTTTACACCTTTCCTCCCCCAATTCCTCAACCCAAATCCTTAATTAAATGATTAAATTAATGATAGATTAGTAGAATATAATAAAAAATGAGTCAAGAATCCTTACCCAATTATTTCCTCTGAAAATCCCTCAAAATCTCGCCTTAATCCGAGCTCTCCAGGTCGAAAAATGGATAATGAAATTAAACGCTCGAACTTAAGTCTTTTCTGTCAAGTTAAACCGCTTCGGCGAGGACTTAGACGTATCTGTGGCTCCGTACCTGCGGAATTTCCATCGCAGGTGCGTCCATCACTTAGGCCCATGAAAACTCGCTTCTGCGACACCCTAAGCGCACATGTGCTTGCGCTTCTGCGAAGGGACAACAACATATCTGCTTCCGCTACTGCGCACCACTGACCGCACCTGCGGTCCCTGCTGGCCTAACTCACTCACGCTTCTACGGTGCTGCACCTGCGGCCCAAGGTGCGCAGGTGCAATTGCACCAGACACTGCCAAGCTTCAGCAATGCACCAAGTCCAATTTTGTTCCGGATTCAAATCCGAATCACACCCGGGGGCCCCGTCCAAGTATATCAACAAGTCCTAAAATATCATAAAGACTTAGTCGAGCCTTTAAATCACATCAACTGACGTTAAAACCACGAATCGCACCCCAATTCAAGATTAATGAACTAAGAAAATTCAAACTTCTACAAACGATACTGAAACCTATCGAATCACGTCTGATTGACTTCAAATTTTGCACACAAGTCACATATGACATTACGGACCTACTCCATCTTTCGAAATTGGAATCCGACCCCGATATCAAAAAATTCACTCCCGGTCAAACTTCCCAAAAATCTTCTAATTTTCCATCTTTCGCCAATTAACGCTGAAATGACCTACGGGCATCCAAATCAACATCTGAACACACTCCTAAGACCAAAATTACCATATGGACCTATTGGAACCGACGCGACTCCATTCCGGTGTCGTATTCACACAAGTCAAACTACGGTCAACTCTTACAACTCAACTTCACACTTAGGGACTATGTGTCCTATTCCACTCTGAAACTCTCTCGAACCCGACACCGAGCACCCTGACAAGTCAAGTAACTATAAAATAAAACATAGGGTATAATAAATAGGGGATAGGGGTTAATACTCTCAAAATAACCGGCCGGGTTGTTACATCCTCCCTCTTTCAAAACAATTGTTCGTCCTCAAACGAGTATAGAGACATACCTAAAGTGGTGAAAAGATGAGGATAATGGCTGCGCATATCATACTTGGTCTCCCAAGTCTCTTCCTCGACTAGATGACCCCTCCACTGAATCTTGTCTAAAGCGATGTTCTTTGATCTCAAATTTCGAACCTGACTGTCTAAAAAGGCCACCGGCTCCTCAACATAAGATAGGTCCTTGTCCAATTGGACTGAGCTGAGGTCTAACACATGAGACGGATCGCCGTGATACTTCTGGAGCATAGAAGCATAGAATACTGGATGAACAACAGCTAGACTAGGTGGTAGTGTAAGTTCGTAAGCCATCTCTCCAACACTCTCAAGGATCTTAAAAGGCCCGATGTACCTAGGGCTCATCTTTCCCTTCTTATCGAACCTCATAACACCCTTCATGGGAGAAACCCGGAGCAAGACCTGCTCCCCAATCATAAATGCAACATCGCGAACCTTCTGATCCGCATAACTCTTCTGCCTGGATTGGGCTGTACGAAGTCGATCTTGAATCAATTTAACCTTTTCCAAAGCATCCTGAACCAAGTCTGTACCCAATAGCCTAGCCTCGCCCGGCTCGAACCAACCCACTGGAGACCGGCACCGCCTACCATACAAAGCCTCATACGGGGTCATTTGAATGGTTGACTGATAACTGTTGTTGTAGGCAAACTCCGCAAGTGGTAAGAACTAATCCTAAGAACCCCTAAAATCCATCGCACACACACGAAGCATTTACTCCAATTTTTGAATAGTGCACTCAGACTATCCGCTCGTCTGAGGGTGAAATGTCGTACTCAATTCCACCCGAGTACCCAACTCGTGTTGTACGACTCTCCAGAACCATGATGTAAATTGCGTAACCCAGTCAGAGATGATAGATATCGGAACACCATGAAGCCTGACAATATCGTGAATGTAAACCTGAGCCAGCTGCTCCGAAGAGTAAGTAGTAACCACATGAATGAAATGAGCTGACTTGGTCAATCTATCCACAATCACCCAAACTGCATTGGACTTCCTCTGAGTCCGTGGGAGCCCAACAATGAAATCCATAGTGATCTGCTCCCATTTCTACTTCGGAATATCTAGCTTTTGAAGCAATCCACTTGGCCGTTGATGCTCATACTTCACCTCTTGACAATTTAGGCACCGAGCTTCATACTCCTCTATGTCCTTCTTCATTCTCCTCCACCAATAATGTTGCCTCAAGTCCTGATACATCTTCTCGGCACCTGGGTGAATGGAGTACCGCAAACTGTAAGCCTTCTGGAGAATTAACTCACGCAAACCATCTACATTAGGCATACATAGCCTGCCATATATCCGTAATACACCGTCATCTCCAATAGTGACCTCCTTTGCATCATCGTGCTGAATCATGTCCTTAAGGACAAGATGATGAGGGTCATCATACTAACGCTCTGTGATACCATCATAAATATAATACTGAGAAACCACATAAGCCAAAACTCGACTCGGCTCGAAAACATCCAATCTAATAAACTAGTTGGCAAAGGCCTGAACATCTAAGGCTAAAGGCCTCTTTGTTACCAGTAGATATGCTAAGCTACCCAAACTCTCTGCCTTGCGGCTCAAGGCATCGGCCACCACATTGACTTTTCCGGGATGATATAAAATGGTGATATCATAGTCCTTAAGCAACTCCAACCACCTCCGCTGCCTCAAGTTAAGATCCTTCTGTTTAAACATATGTTGTACACTCCGGTGATTGGTGTAGACCTCACAAGGGACACCATACAAATAGTGCCGCCAGATCTTCAAGGCATGAACAATAGCTGCTAACTCGAGGTCATGGAAAAGATAGTTCTTCTCACGCCCCTTCAGCTATCTAGACACATAGGCAATCACCCTACCGTCCTGCATCAACACTGCGCCAAGACCAATGCGTGACGCATCATAATACAACGTATAGGATCCCGTACCAGTAGGCAATACCAATACTGGGGCTGTAGTCAAAGCAGTCTTGAGCTTTTGAAAGCTCTCCTCACACTACTCGGTCCACCTGAACGGAGCACCCTTCTGGGTCAATTTAGTCATAGGTGCTCTGATAGACGAGAAACCCTCTACAAATCGACGGTAATACCCCGCCAAGCCAAGAAAGCTCTGGATCTCCGTAGCTGAGGATGGTCTGGGCCATCTTTGCACTGCCTCAATCTTCTTCGGATCTACCTTTATCCCATCACTTGAATCTACATGACCCAAAAATGCCACTGAATCTAGCCAGAATTCACACTTCGAAAATTTTGCATATAACTTCTTTTCTCTCAAGGTCTGAAGCACAGTCCTCAGGTGCTGCTCATGATCTTCCCGGCTCCGGGAGTACATCGGAATGTCGTCAATAAACACAATGACGAACAAATCAAGATAGGGCTGAAATACACTGTTCATCAAGTGCAGGAATGTTGCTGGGGCATTGATCAGCCCAAAAGACATCACAAGTAGCTCATAATGACCATATGTAGTCCTGAAAGCAGTCTTCAGAATATCTGGCTCCCAAATCTTCAACTGATGATAGCCTAAATGCAAGTCGATCTTAGAGAACACTCTGGCACCCTGAAGCTGATCAAATAGGTCATCAATACGTGGTAATGGATACTTGTTCTTCACTGTAACCTTGTTCAACTGGCGATAATCAATACATATCCGCAGAGAACCATCCTTATTCTTTACAAATAAGACAGGAGCACCCCAAGGCGACACACTGGGCCTAATGAACCCCTTGTCAAGAAACTCTTGCAATTGTTCCTTAAAATATTTCAACTCTATTGGGGCCATACGATAGGGTGGAATAGAAATGGGCTGAGTGCCCGGTAACAAATCAATACCAAAGTCGATATCTCTGCCGGGCGGCATGCCCGGAAGATCCGCCGGAAATCTGCTAAGCCTTGATAAATGAAACAACCCTACTAGGAACATAATCTAAAGTACCTCTCCACTCTACCCGTAGTAAACCTGGCATAGACAACGTCACCGTCTTGACGTGACAATCAAGGATAGCGTGATAGGGCGACAACCAGTCCATGCCCAAAATAATATCAAAATCCACCATACTAAGTAATAATACGCCGGCTCTGGTCTCAAAACCACTAATAAAAACCAAACACAACTGATACACACGGTCCACAACAATAGAATCTCCCACGGGTGTAGACACATAGACATGAGAACTCAAAGAATCACGGGATACACCCAAATATGGAGCAAAATAAGATGACACATAGGAATAAGTGGAGCTTGGATCAAATAATACTGATGCATCTCTATGACAGACCGGAACAATAACTATGATGACAGAGTCGGATACAACTGTCTCCGTCCTAGTAGGAAGGGCATAATATCTTGCCTGGCCTCACCCTCTAGGGCGACCTCTACCCGTCCGACCTCCGCCTCGAGCTGGCTGAGTAGGTGGAGTGGTAGCTGGTGTTGTAATCATAGGCTGATGACCCGGTGGAGCATTCGGTGACTGAGTGGCCTCTGGAGGTGCACCCCTCATGAGTCTGGGGAAATCCCTCACCATATGACGAGTGTCACCACACTCAAAACAAGCTCTCGGAGGATGTGGCTGCTACGACTGGCTCGGGCCTGATCGGCTGGACTGACCGCTGAAAGCACCCCATGTAGGAGGTGCACTAGACAATGGCGGCGCATAATAGGGATCCTAGGGCCTAGGAGTGGCCGGAGTACTACTGGTGGTTGGAAGTGCTGAATTAACAGGGCGACCCACAGAGCCCTTATCTTGACGAGCTGCAGCTGGGGTACGAGTACCACTATATGTGCCAGACTCTCCAAACCTCTTGACCTCCCTCTTCTCTCTCTATCGAGTCAACATATCCTCCAATATCCTAGTGATCCCCACCACCTGCACGTATGTGATGTTCATCTCTAACTCTAGGACCATGCTAAATCTGATACTGGGTTGAGCCCCTCAATAAATCGACGAACCCGCTCACGAACTATAGCAAACAAGGCTGGTGCATTAAACCGGACCGTATACTCTAACACAGTCATAGAACCCTGGTGCAACTGCTCAAACTCTACGCGCCATGCATCTTTGAGACTCTAGGGGACATACTCTTTAAAGGAACATGTCTGAAAACTGAGTCCAAGTGGGTGAAGCTACCTCGGCTAGACTACCCAACTCGTATGCACGCTACCACTGATAGGCCGCCCCTCTAAGCTGGGACGTAGTGAAAGAAGCCCCATTAGACTCCGCAACACTCATAGTACAGAGGATACGGTAGCACTCCTCAAGGAAACCATGAGCATCCTCTGACGCGAAGCCACTGAAAGTAGGAGGGTGGTACTTCTTGTACCTCTCTAGCCTGAGCTGCTTCTCCTAAAAACCTGCTGCCCTAACCTCGGGCTGAACTGGGGCTACTGGCTGCATTGGTATGACCTCTGGAACCTGGTCGACCTGGACCCGCTTCTCTGCGGTACGGGCGTCGGGAGTTTGTGCTCCTCCCCTAGCCTGAGATGTGGCAGGAGCAAGTAGTATCAACCCTACCTGAGCCAAAGTGCTGAACATGCTCAGAAACTGGGCGAGAGTTTCTTGGAGGGCTGGTGCAGTAACATGCGCATCATGTGTTGGCCCTCCAACTGGAGCTCTGGGTGCTCTGGCTGCACCATGTGGACGTCCTAGTTCTCTACTCCGGCCTCGGCCTCTAGCGGCTCTAGCAGGGGGCTGCACCATGTGTACGTGTCCTCACCATCTGCGAGAGAATAAAAAGACAGAAATTTAGAATTCGAAGTCAAAAATTTAGCACGACAAGGAATCAAAGAAGTGAAGCTTTTCCTAACAGTTCCATTGCCTCCCGAAGATAAGCACATACGTCTCCGTACCGATCCGCGAGACTCTACTAAACCTTTTTGTGACTCATAATACCTATGAACCTAGTACTCTGATACCAACTTGTCACGACCCAAATTCTCTCTGTATGGTGTCATGGCGGCACTTAGTCTCTAAGACTAGGTAAGCCTAACAATCTTGCGGAATAACTGAATATAAAGCTGAAACTCAAACCTCATCATCTTAAATAAATAAAAATTGTGATTCAAAATAGTTACAACTCCAAAAATCTGGTAGAAATAAGTCACAGGCTCTAAATAAAAATGCTAAAAATCTCTATACATCATAGAATAAAGAAGGCAACATAATAAGGATAGAGGAGGACTCTGAGGTCTGCGGACGCTGGAAGATATACCTTGAAGTCTCCACGCACGGACTAACTCACTGATATCTGGTCTGGTAGGAAGAACATTTGCACAAAAGGATGTGTAGAAGAGTAGTATGAGTATACCACAGCAGTACCTAGTAAGTGCCAAGCCGAACCTCGGTAGGGTAGTGGCGAGGTCAGGTCAAGGCTATATTGGAAATAATAAGAAAAACAAGGCAGGAGATATAATAATGAAATGAGATGACAGAGAAGTGTAACAATAGAAATTCATAGAAGATAACAACCCGGAGTTCAAGAAGACAACTACAACATGTAAGGAAATAAGAATCTTACAAGTTAAGGAGCAATAACAACAATAACAACAATACAACAAATAAAGGTAAACAACAAGGGCGCTCCCGAAGTACCGCCTCGTAGTCCCAAAAGTAAATATCTCACAACGGCACGGCAGAAACCTCGTGCAAATAATGATAATAGCACGATAGAAACCTCGTGCCACAATAACACTCCGCACGGTAGAAACTTCGTGTCACATCAACACTCCGCATGGTAGAAACCTCGTGCAACAATAACACTCCGCACGGCAAAAACAATCAGTTATCTCAACAAAAATCATGAAACAAACACATAACAAATGAAACAATGAAATTAGAGCAACGAATCCTACAGTTAAAGAATGAATTTTTCAAAGGAAGTAGGTAATTCAACTAAGCATGTTGCACAAATTTGCAAGTACAAGATAAGACACGTAGACATGTGACACTAGGATGAACATGATAACTACACGTGCTAGAGTAACTCAATTAAGGGAATCAAAAGGAACTATTTAGCAAAAACCAGATTTTCAATATTTAGCCTGTGTACGCACTCGTCACCTCGCGCACACGGCCTTCACGTATTGCAAATACCATAACAGTTCCAAATCCTAAGGCAAATTTTCCCCATAACAAGGTTAGACAAGTCACTTACCTCATATCTTGCTCAATCAATAATTAAGAATACTTTTCCCTTGACTTTCCGACTGCGAACGGCCCAAATCTAGCCAAAAGCGATTACATACTATAAATATAACGATAAGAAACTAATCTAAATAATACAATTTGACTTTAAAAAGGAAATTAAAAAATTTCCCCAAAATGTCGACCCGGACCCACATCTCGGAATGGGGGTAAAAGTCACAAAATTCGAACACTCATTCAAGCACGAGTCCACACATACCAAAATTACTCAAATCGGATACCAAAACCTCGATCAAAACCTTAAAATTCGGTCTAAGAACTTTTCACCTTTTTCCCTCAATTTCTCAACCCAAATCCTTAATTAAATGAAGAAATTAGTGATAGATTAGTGGAATATAATAAAAAATGAGTCAAGAATCCTTACCCAATTGTTTCATCTGAAAATCCCCCCAAATCTCGCTTCAATTTGAGCTCTCTAGGTCAAAAAATGGATAATGAAATCAAACCCTCGAACTTAGGCATTTTCTGTCCAGTTAAACCTCTTCTGCGAAGACTTAGACGCATCTGTGGCTCCGCACCTGCGAAATTTCCATTGCAGGTGCGGCCATCACTTAGGCCAATGAAAACTTGCTTCTGTAGCACCCTAAGCGCACCTGCGCTTGCGTTTCGGCGAAGGGACAACAGCATATGCACTTCCGCTGCTACGCACCACTGACCATACATGTGGTCCCTGCTGGCCTGACTCATTCACGCTTCTACGGTGGCGCACCTGCGGCCCAAGGTGCACATGTGCGATTGCACCAGACGCTGCCAAGCTTCAGCAATGCACCAAGTCTAATTGTTTTCCGGATTCAAATTCGAATCACACCCGGGCACCCGGGGCCCCCGTCCGAATATATCAACAAGTACTAAAACATCAGAAGGACTTAATAGAGCCTTTAAATCACATCAAACAACGTTAAAACCACGAATCGTACCCCAATTCAAGATTAATGAATTAAGAAAATTCAAACTTCTACAAACGATGTCGAAACCTATCAAATCACGTTCGATTGACTTCAAATTTTTCACACAAGTCACATATAACATTATGGACCTGCTCCAGCTTTCGGTATTGGAATCCGACCCCGATATCAAAAATTCCACTCCCGGTAAAACTTCCCAAAAATTATCCAATTTTCCAACTTTCGCCAATTAACGCAGAAATGACATACGTGCCTCTAATTCAACATCCGAACACACTCCTAAGACCAAAATCACCGTACAAAGATATTGGAACTGACGCAACTCCATTCCGGAGTCGTCTTCATAAAAGTCAAACTACAGTCAATTCTTACAACTCAAACTTCATACTTAGGGACTATGTGTCCCATTCCTTTCTGAAACTCTCCCGAACCCGACACCGAGCACCCCGACAAGTCAAGTAACCATAAAATGAAACATAGGGTATATTAAATAAGGGATTGGGTCTAATAATCTCAAAACATTCATCCTCGAACGAATACAGAGACATACCTGAAGAGGTGAAAAGATGAGGATAATGGCTGCGCATATCATGCTCGGTCTCCCAAGTCACCTCCTCGACTGGATGACCCCTCCACTGAATCTTCACTAAAGCAATGTTCTTTGACCTCAACTTTCAAGCCTGCCTGTCTAAAAAGGCCACTAACTCCTCAACATAAGATAGGTTCTTGTCCAATTGGACTGAGCTAAAGTCTAACACATGAGAAGGATCGCCGTGATACTTTCGGAGCACAGAAACATGGAATATTGGATGAACTGCAGCTAGACTAGGTGGTCGTGCAAGTCTATAAGCCACCTCTCCAACACTCTCAAGGATTTCAAAAGGTCTGATATACCTAGGGCTTAACTTTCCCTTCTTGAGGAAAAACCTGGAGCAAGACCCGCTCCCCATAATGAATGAAACATCGCAAACCTTCTGATCCGCATGACTCTTCTGCCTGGATTGGGCTATATGAAGTCGATCCTGAATCAATTTAACCTTTTCCAAAGCATCCTGAACCAAGTCTATACCCAATAGCCTAGCCTCGCCCGGCTCGAAACAACCCACTGGAGACTGGCACCGCCTACCATACAAAGCCTCATACGAGGCCATCTGAATGGTTGACTGATCACTGTTGTTGTAGGCAAACTCCACAAGTGGTAAGAACTGATCCTAAGAACCCCCAAAATCCATGACACACGCACAAAGCATATCCTCCAATATCTAAATAGTCCCCTCAGACTGTCCGCTCGTCTGAGGGTGAAATGCCGTACTCAATTCCACCCGAGTACCCAACTCATGTTGTATGACTCTCCAGAACCGTGATGTAAACTGCGTACCCCGATCAGAGATGATAGATACCGACACGCCATGAAGCTTGACAATCTCACGAATGTAAACCTGAGCCAGCTGCTCCGAAGAGTAAGTAGTAACCACAAGAATGAAATGAGCTGACTTGGTAAATATACCCACAATCACCTAAACTGCATCGGACTTCCTCTGAGTCCGTGGGAGCCCAACAATGAAATCTATAGTGATCCGCTCCCATTTCCACTTCAAAATCTCTAGCTTCTGAAGAAATCCACCTGGCCGTTGATGCTCATACTTCACATGCTGACAATTTAGGCACCGAGCTACATACTCCACTTTGTCCTTCTTCATTCTCTTCCACCAATAATGCTACCTTGGGTCCTGATACATCTTCGCGATACCTGGGTAAATGGAGTACCGCGAACTGTGGGCCTTCTGGAGAATTAACTCATGCAAACCATCTACATTGGGCACACAGAGCCTGCCTTGTATTTGTAATACACCGTCATCTCCAATAGTGACTTCCTTGGCATCACCGTGCTAAATCGTGTCCTTAAGGACAAGTAGATGGGGGTCACCATATTGACGCTGTCTGATACGATCATGAAGATAGGACTGAGAAACCACACAAACCAAAACTCGACTCAGCTAGAAAACATCCAATCTAACAAACTGGTTGGCCAAGGCCTGAACATCCAAGGCTAAATGCCTCTTTGCTACTGGTAGATATGCTAAGCTGCCCAAACTCTCCGCCTTGCTTCTCAAGGCATCGGCCACCACATTGGATTTCCCGGGATGATATATAATGGTGATATCATAGTCCTTAAGCAACTCCAATCACCTCCACTGCCGCAAGTTAAAATCCTTCGGTTTAAATAGATGTTGTACACTCAGGTGATCGGTGTAGACCTCATAAGGGACACCATACAAATAGTGCCGCCAGATCTTCAAGGCATGAACAATAGATGCTAACTCGAGGTCGTGGACAAGATAGTTCTTCTCATGCACCTTCAGCTGTCTAGACACGTAGGTAATATCCTACCGTCCTGCATCAACACCGCACCGAGACTAATACATGACACATCACAATACACCGTATAGAATCCTGAACCAGTAGGCAATACCAACACATGGGCTGTAGTCAAAGCAGTCTTGAACTTTTGAAAGCTCTCCTCACAATCCTCGGTCTACCTAAACGGAGCACCCTTCTAGGTCAATCTAGTCATAGGTGCTGTAATAGATG